ACATTGAAATGCATAATGTTACCAACCCCATACTTATAGACCAATATTACTGTGACAGAAAGATACCGTGCAAAGAACAGGTAATTTATAGAAATACCACGAGACCAAACCAACTTCTATCGCTTAATTTCTTGATCGAAAATGACGTATCTATTGGTTCAATATTAATCACAGAGATCAGCAGTTGAAGTCAAAAATGTGGTGTACAAAAACATCAAAGGAACAAGTGCTTCAGATGTTGCTATAAAATTCGATTGCAGCAAGAGCTTCCCTTGTCTGGGGATTATGTTGCAAGATATTAACCTCCAACACGAAGGAAGGAAAACAGCTAAAGCTCTGTGCAACAATGTTAATGTGACTAGCATAGGGGTTGTTTGCCCGCTTTGTCCTAAATTAGAAGGGCAATATGAGACTTGCCAATGTCTATGAACACAGCTGTGTTGAGCTGGCTTAATATGTGTTGTTATTGTCCTGCATTTCATTATATGTATCAAAAGTTGGACCGTATTAGTATAATAATTAACATGCATTATCATAATGCATGGATCCATTTATTTGATACATACGTCGACTAAACCTGTTGGAGGAGTATCGCGCAAGGATTAATTTAGATCTTCTTAGATTATGCTTTGATTAATTAGTTTCCTTATTGTAACTATGTTATGACCTCCAAGGCATACACTTGTGTGTGTGTGTATGTGTATATATAGCTATCAATAAAATTAATAATTCTATATTTTAGAGCTAACTGTTGCACATACGGTACTTTTCAGAATATGTAACTCATATTTTATTCAAATCGATTTTGCATTGAGACTTTTTTATGTATTACCCAGTACATCATATGTAATAATACAAGTAAAAATATATTTTTAGTATCTCTTTTCTTTATTATATACCATGTATACAAAATCATGGGCTAAGTACAGTGAAAATATCTCATTTACATCGATAAAGAGAGTACGCATATTTAGTTTTACTAAAAGCCCATGGGCCCAAACACACTGGCTTTCTCATTTATTCCAGCCCAAATCTCCAATTCCTTCTTTTGTTTTTTTTTTTTTTTTTGTCATTTTTCCGTTTTTGTTCGTCCATTTGGTTTGCCAGTAAATTTCCCAGGGGGTAATTTGGACGACCGTCTTTTTTCTCTTCGGAGAAAACTCGGGCGTGGACTTGGGATTTCCGCGGATTCGGTGTTTCTCTCTGTATCCGCGGAACCCAAAATCCAATCCAAACCTTCGGACAATCCGATTCCGGCGTCTCTCAACAAATCCCGGGACTACATAATCCCGCCGATTCTACATTTCCAGCACGTTTCGTTTATTGGTGGGGAGCTTCTAGTGTTGTACATACAAAATTTGAATGGGAACTCCGGAATTCCCAGATCTGGGTAGGCATTGCTACGTCGCCGAGTGCCAGCAGATCGATTTCTTGCCCTTCACCTGCGATAGCTGCCATCAGGTCCTCTCTCTCTATATATATACACGCATTTGTGAAATTATATACGTCCATATTATATAAATATCGAATGTGCATTGTGTTTGGAAATAGGGATTCTAGTTATATGGATCGAGATTATCCTCTGTTTGGTTGCTGAGAAAAGTAGAATTACCCAGAAAAAAAAAAAGAAGGGAAATTTTCAAATTTTGGTGATTCGCGGGCCGGGGGGATTGCTTGAGAAAACGCAAAATGGGTGTGAATGCACATTGGATTGGATTATGAATTTGTATTTCTTGGAAAAGAAAAGGATGAAATTCCGGATTAAATTTATCTTATCGAAATTTGAATGATTGACAATTTTCTGTCAACATTGTCTGGAAGCTTACAATAAATTTCTGATGTTGGCGTTTGCTTGAGTTGAAACTGTCTAGCTTTATAGGGTGATATTTCATTCCTGCTCTGTATTTTCTTTTGCTATAAATGTTTGTTTCGGATTCATGTTAGATTGACGTGCATGGTGCAATGTTTGGATTTAACTGAATTCCAAGTACATTACTGAATATTTACTTATTTGATGTTAAATATCGAGGTGCTAAAGTTGTTTGCTGGGAATAAATTGAATGTTGTAGCTTCATGTTCTTAGATTACTCTAAGAAGTGGATGTTTTTGAGAAAATAATGACGGTGGAAAGTGTTTGAAATTTACAAACTGATGGTAAAAGGGAAGTGAAATGTTTTGCACCCTCGTTCTTCCGGAATGGTGGTGTGATGCATCACGTAGATCATGCAGTTTTTGACCAAATTTAACCAAAGATAGTTAGGGGTTGGAATGTTTTCCATTTACTTCAATATTTTTAGGTCAGAAAAGCCTTATTTACTTAGGTTAATACAATAGCATAGTCTTCAATCTTTTTACCATCTTCCTAATTGTGGATTATCATTCACCTGCCTTATTTCTGCTTCTCAAGAATATTCAATGCTTCATACTCACACAAACCTGACATTATGCAGGTATTTTGTTTGGAGCATAGAAGCTACATTAAGCATAATTGTCCGAAAGGTGACCGAAAAAATGTCACTGTTGTCATCTGTCCCCTCTGTGCCAAAGGAGTTCATCTGATTCCCGATGAAGATCCAAACATTACTTGGGAGAGACATGTTAACACTGATTGCGACCCTTCTAATTATGAGAAAGCCACAAAGAAGAAAAAATGCCCTGTCCCTGGCTGCAAGGAGGTCTTAACATTCTCCAACACAATCAAGTGCAGGGATTGCACGGTAGATCACTGTTTGAAGCACCGATTTGGACTTGATCACAAGTGTCCTGGACCCAAGAAACCAGAAGCAGGATTTCCCTTTTTGGGTTATTTAAGTAGGAGTAGGAAAGAAGTGTCAAAACCGAATCATGCTCCTGCTGCATCCTCCCCGAATTGGAGTAGCTTTCTTACTGCAGCTTCATCTTTTCGAGCCTCAGCTGAAGCAAGTGTGGCAAAACTGAGTAGCGAACTTAGCCAAAAGTGGCAGATAGCAAAGGATGGAACTGGGCAGAGTAGCAGCAGCAGCGGGAGTAGAAACGGGCAGGGTGAGGTGTGTCCTCAGTGTGGTGCTAAGTTTTCCTCAGTCACCACTCTAGTAGACCACGTAGAAAAAGTTCATGAGAAGGGTGGCAACCGAGCTGCTGCGGTGAAGAAGGTGACAATTGATGCCTGCCCTAAATGTAGTAAGGGATTTCGTGATCCAGTGGCACTTGTAGAGCACGTTGAGAGAGATCACGGCGGTACTTCAAGAGCATAGGTATCGTTTTTGGAGAAAGTATTTGTTATTTATATTTTCTATTGGGTATACATTACACGGTTCACAATGACAAATGACAAATGCATATATCTCTTAAGCATTCAGTCGAACTACTTGTGTTTTAAGCTGTAAAATTGAATACAAAATTGTTCAATTATGTTTTCGGGATAGTGATTTCTACACATCATTTTTTTCCTCTTTTTTTTAAGTCAGCACGTTGGACCAACTTTAATAATTTGGTAACAAACTCGTTATTCACAGAAGTTAAACTTAAGACTCTTCACTTTAAAATGAACATAAATACTACTAGACGGACCGGTTGAATAATTTCGTTTTATCTTCAAGCCAAGTGAAGCGCCATGACCCGCTGATTATTGTTGAGTGCGTGTCGGGCGGTTAAGGACATGATAGGGAACGGGCGTTTGAGTGCTTCCATTCGGAAAGAAGCTGAATAATCAACCTCGTAATTGTCCTTTCTCTTCTCTAACTTCCTCATCCAACCTCATCTATTTGTTATCGTTGTAGTTGGCCTTTTCATTTTTTTGTATACTTTGTGTTTTTAAGTCACCAAGTCAAATATTAAACGGCCAAATACCTAAAGAAAAATGTTATAAAATCTAAAATTTTAAAAGTGAAAGAAATGTTTGTCAATATTGTTGTCCTTTTATCCTATCCTATTTATTTATGCATGTGATTTTACTTTGTGTTTTCAAGTCTTGTGATTATCATGTTCGTAGATTCGCTAAAATGATGACTTGTATATTAGCTAAGTTAGCCCGTACTTTGAATTTGATTCTTGTTGGTTTGAGGATTAGTTTAGGATGATCTCCTAGAGCATTAATTGCAACCCTTCATAATCTTTTTGATAAAATCGCTATCGTTTCTTTCTTAAAAAAAAAGGTATCATTTTAATGATTATAATTGAATTAAGTAACAGCTAAGATTTAAAGTACGTTGAAGTAAGAAATAAATTTTACGGTTAGAGAATTAAAGGAATAAGTACAAGGTGTCCATATCCTACTATATTGTGTGAGTTGGACAGATAAGTTTCTTTCATGAGTATCTTATACACCTTCAAGATACTTTGAATGAGGAATCCCCTTTTAATTAAGAATTTTTGAAATAAAAATTACTTTTATGTGTAATTCAATGAAGAACCCCTTTTAACTCTAAAGTTAAACTTAAATCAAGTATGACTTCAGACTTGACTCTAAAGTCATATACAATATCAATTTTTTCAAGGACTAAAGAGCGATATAACAAATTTGGAGTCAAATATGATTTTTTATTCTAAATTTTCCGGCTCATAAGAGATAGCCTAAAACAAAATTCATGGAACTAAACTCCATGATAGAGATCAAATAAAAAATACATGAATACATGACATCCTTTTGATTCGACCGATATTCTACCTAACTTGATTAAGCCGACTTTGGAAATATATAACATTTAGTCGCATAATACCAAGAAATGCAAAATCATAGTACCCCAACCGTTTTTTCCTTTTTCTATCAAAGTAAGGTTTTTACCAAAAAAAAAAAAAGGAAGAAATTAGGTAAATGAACTGTCAAAATTTCGGTTGACAAAAAACGCAAAAATTTAACTGTCGAGAGAGCAGAGAGCACGTCTATGATCACAGAACCTTAATATAATGCATCCACGTCAGCATGGACCCCAAAAATCTACCAAATCCCTGGGACCCACAAATTGAGCCGTTAAAACGTTATTGTCCCAGAACTGCAGGTGCAGGCTGGACGGATATTATTTGGAGTATAAATTCAAAAATTCAAAAACAGAAAAAGGGAAGGACACGTAAGAAATCGCGGTGGAATATGCTGGAATTCCGGTACATTTTCTGCATGGCATAAGGTGGATTTTCCAGCCTCAGGTCTCCTCCTGCTCTTTGAAGGCGTTCATCGCCACGATTCCATACAAAGCGATCGAATTTCGATGTGTATTTGCGATTTTGGAATATCCTTTTGCTTGAATTTGAAAACCCACATTGGAAAATTGTATTGGAGATTGAATTGTTCTTGAATTTTGAGGCTTTGATTGGATTTTTGAGATTTTGTTAATTGTTCACAGGCTGGTTTGTTCGATTTTAGAGGTACCCATCTCAGGTTCGAGCCTTTCTTTCCCTTCTCTGCACCCAAATTGTGAGGTTTTCCTCTCGTAGATTTGGAAGGGAAAGAAAGGCCAAGTTCTGAGGTGCCCATTTTTCCTGTTTGTGTCAAGTTGTATGTATCTTGTATTCAACAATGAGCGCTGTTTCGGGGGTGATTTCGCGCCAAGTTTTGCCTGCCTGTGGCAGCCTTTGCTTCTTCTGCCCAGCATTGCGAGCCAGGTCTAGACAGCCGGTTAAGAGATACAAGAAGCTCATTGCTGACATTTTCCCTCGTAACCAGGTTCGTTCTGCTCTCGTATTTTATCTACATGGGTTTTTGTTGCTTGCATTCGATTCGTTACTTGTTTCCTAAGATAGTTTTACCGTTTGTAAAGAGACTTGTGTGGATGATAATATATGACATCTCTATGTGCATTTTTGTGGGTTTGGAAAAGTGTTGATGTTATGGTAGATATGTAGTCCATTGCTGGATGATGGCATTCTGCTGTGAAAACGCAACCATTTGACATGACTATCAAAGTAATGATTCTTCCTAAGTGAACTAAAATTGAGAGGACAATTTTTTAACTTGCTACCATCCATTACATAGTCTAATCGAGTAGATTGAGTATTGAAGAATCGTCTGAATTGTCTGAGTTTTGACAATCCAAGTTCTTGAATCTTCTTGTCAAATAGAATCACTCCTCCAAACCATAAATTTTAACATGGTAACATCTAACCAGTACTTGAATTAATTGACAGTTACTTGCCCATCCATTTTGTATTTATAAGCCTACATATATATTTAATATGTTTTGTATGTCGACAAATATTGAGTTTATTATGGCTTTGAAAACTAAATGAAAAACTAGGTATCTGCTAGTGTTGGATGCCTTGTGAGGCTAATCTAGAGTTATGTAATATGCATCTTTGTCTAGTAAAATGAGTATTTCGTAACTTTAGAGCACTCATGTAAACAAACGTTGAAACTGATTATGACTATGGTAGCCAATTGAAAGCCCAGTTTCTCATATTGTTGTCTGCCATTCGAGGATGAAATGAGGCCTAGAAAGAACTGCTTATCGGTGTAGTAAGTTGTTTATGGCTCTAATTGAAAACAGAGCATTGTAATCGTTGTGTGCCATGTCGTTATTAACTGTAGGCCTTATGTATGATGTGTTGGCGGTGTTATGTTTTTATCTTCTTATGTACATCATGGTTTTTATTTTTCTTGAGAATTCAATTCTTATACAATGAGGTTCAGTTGGGTATACAAGAAAGAAATTGTAGGTTGCCTTTTCTTGATGCAACCAATGCCTTGTAGATGAATTTGTATGATTTATTTTCTGACAATAAAAGAATTTACTTGTTTCTCTGGTTAATAAATACTAGTTGATTAAACCTTTTTTTCCCATTCTTGTAGTTTTTATTCTACTCACCCAAGGGAGAATCCTGTCAGAACAGTCTGTAATAATGTATGTTTGTGTTACTCCCTTTTGGGTTTTTTTCCTGGTCAGAACACATGTTCTTTGATGGAAAATCCTGGTTAGACACCATCAAATTTAGTTTCTTTGCATCCCTTAAAAGTATGAAGTTTCCCTATTCTGGCTTTTCTGTGAAATATTGTTCTATTAATTTCTTAACATCAATGCAATCACTTTCTTAACGAATGTTGCATTATCAAGTTTCAGGACTTATTCTTTTCACTTTGACAGGAAGAAGGACCAAATGATCGGAAGATTGGAAAGTTGTGCGAATATGTTGCCAAGAATCCTTTGCGAATCCCAAAGGTATCAATTATATTCTGTAAATCCTAAAAATTTATTTTAACCTTATTTGAGGGATCCCAAACATAACCTTATCTGAGGGGCACCTTGTGCGGCGCACTCTGGAATTTATTTCGATGAACTGAACCATCTTATGTTTTAGTTCTTCATTCAAAGGTCATCCTTGCAAAACATTGGACAAAACCGCTACCACTAAGACATCTAGTTGTAGCCAAGAAAATAGACCAATATGATATTTCAAGAAAACACTAAATTGACACCACTTAATTGAGTGGTTAAGGGTTTCAGATTTAAGTGATTTTTGCAAGTACAATCTTGAGTGAAGACATAAAACAAGGTGAGCTGGATCATCAAAATACAAGGGGAGTGGATGTCCCTGAAATAACCTTATTTGAGGGATCCCTCAAGAAGCTCCCTCCATATATGTCCGTCATATATAACTTAACTCATGATACAACAACAACAACAACAACAAAGCCTTTTCCCACTAAGTGGGGTCGGCTATATGAATCCTAGAACGCCATTGCGCTCATTTGTGTCATGTCCTCCGTTAGATCCAAGTACTCAAGTCTTTTCTTAGGGTCTCTTCCAAAGTTTTCCTAGGTCTTCCTCTACCCCTTCGGCCCTGAACCTCTGTCCCGTAGTCACATCTTCGAACCGGAGCGTCAGTAGGCCTTCTTTGCACATGTCCAAACCACCGGAACCGATTTTCTCTCATATTTCCTTCAATTTTGGCTACTCCTACTTTACCTCGGATATCCTCATTCCCAATCTTATCCTTTCTCGTGTGCCCATACATCCCACGAAGCATCCTCATCTCCGCTACACCCATTTTGTGTACGTGTTGATGCTTCACCGCCCAACATTCTGTGCCATACAACATCGCTTGGCCTTATTGCCGTCCTATAAAATTTTCCCTTGAGCTTCAGTGGCCTACGACGGTCACACAACACGCCGGATGCACTCTTACACTTCATCCATCCAGCTTGTATTCTATGGTTGAGATCTCCATCTAATTCTCCGTTCTCTTGCAAGATAGATCCTAGGTAGCGAAAACGGTCGCTTTTTGTGATCTTCGCTAGATTGCTCCGGTCATTAGTGTGGATAAGTATATAAATGGATAGAGATAGGAAAGCAAACACAAGATGTACGTGGTTCACCCAGATTGGCTACGTCCACGGAATAGAGGAGTTCTCATTAATTGTGAAGGGTTTACACACAAGTACATAGGTTCAAGCTCTCCTTTAGTGAGTACAAGTGAATGATTTAGTACAAATGACATTAGGAAATATTGTGGGAGAATGATCTCGTAATCCACGAAACTTCTAAGTATCGGAGTGTGGTATCGTCTTGACTTGCCTTATCTGTCTCATAGGTAGATGTGGCATCTTCTCTGGAAGTACTCTTCCTCCATCCAGGGGTGGTATCTGTTAACTGGTGGAGATGCACAAGGTAATGTATCAATTTCACTTGAAGCTTACTTGTAGTTTCAGGCTTGGTCAAGCGCGATACAAACCATGTAGTAGGAGTCCCCCAAGTCGCCGAGCTAGGGGATCTGCTGAAAGAGGTGACAGACAAGGTAAGCAATCAGAGCTCCGGCTGATTGTTCACATTCTCCCTATCTTGCAGGCAGCATGAAGGATAAAGAGAAGAAAAATGAGAAGAGATGATATGGGATACTTTTGCTTTTGAAGAAGTAACTTTCCACAGGCTTATTCTTGAACTGGGCTGGAGGGTTTTCTGGTTTCCTCCAGAGTATAAGGCCGACTGAAGAATTTGAGGGTCAAAACAAGTCCATCAAATCTAGAGTACGTTCGACCCTGCTGATATGGGATACTTTTGCTTTTGACAGAGTAGTGGATGTATCGGCACGTGTGCTGTTACGCTTGTCTCCACATGCTTCCTTGTATCCTTCTCACTTGCCCTATCTGTTCCTCAGGCAGATGCGGTATCTTCCCTGGAAGCATAAGATGTTGAAGATGAGTACTCGAGAGCAATGCCAGGTAAGTAATCAGGTAAGGGGTTCCAGGCAGTCAGTTCCTGGCTGGAAGCTTGATTCCAAGTGCTGACTGATTGCTCTCTTTCTCCTTGTCTTGCAGGTAAGAACAAGGCCAAAGGAAAAGACAGGGAAAAAGCATGATATGGGATACTCTTGCTTTTAACCCTGATGATATGAGATATTCTTGCTCTAGTATAGCTTGTTTGCAGAGGTATTATCGGGGGGAAAGAAAGCTGAATATTTCGAAAGGCTTCGTTGGGAGTGCCCTCTCAGATATGAGAAAGGGTTGAGCATTTTTGCAGGTCTGCCTGTCCGTTGGGGATGGAGGTCGACATATATAGGAGTCTCCCTAACAACAAGTAGTAATGCTATTCCTTTACCCTGCTTGGTCATAGCACGGTAGTGGGAGCTGCCAGCTTTCACATGTTTTAACTCTGTCAGAGCACTTTGAAAAAGTGGTCTGTGGTATCTGGAAAGCTGATGTTGCGTGTGAAAGATTACAGACCTGATCGGGGTCTGGCTCTCGAAGATTCGGAGAACGATGCCTCTTCGATTTTTGAGAAAAGCAATCCTGCTGGGGGTCTGGCTCTCGAGATTCGGAGAGCGGTGTCTCTTCGATTTTTGAGAAAGTAATCATGTTGGGAGTCTGGCTCTCGAGATTCGGAGGGCGGTGCCTCTTCGATTTTGGAGCAAGCAATCTTGTTGGGAGTGTTTTTCTCGAATGTGAGTAAAGGTTGGGCATGTTTGCTAGTCTACCTTGCCACGAAGCACAGAGGTTGACACACAGGGACTTTCCAATTATCCAGCAGTGGTACTGTTCCTTTACCCTCTCTTCGATTTTGAGAAAGTAATCATGTTGGGAGTCTGGCTCTCGAGATTCGGAGGGCGGTGCCTCTTCGATTTTGGAGCAAGCAATCTTGTTGGGAGTGTTTTCTCGAATGTGAGTAAAGGTTGGGCATGTTTGCTAGTCTACCTTGCCACGAAGCACAGAGGTTGACACACAGGGACTTTCCAATTATCCAGCAGTGGTACTGTTCCTTTACCCTCTCTTCGATTTTTGAGAAAGTAATCATGTTGGGAGTCTGGCTCTCGAGATTCGGAGGGCGGTGCCTCTTCGATTTTGGAGCAAGCAATCTTGTTGGGAGTGTTTTCTCGAATGTGAGTAAAGGTTGGGCATGTTTGCTAGTCTACCTTGCCACGAAGCACAGAGGTTGACACACAGGGACTTTCCAATTATCCAGCAGTGGTACTGTTCCTTTACCCTTGTGGGTAATAATATGGTAGCTAGACCTTCAAAATTTATGTGTCTAAACTTTGTTAGTGTTGTTTCTTTGCTATTCTTTTACCCTTCTTGGTCAGAGCGATGTAGTGGGAGCTGCAAGCTTCACGTGTCTCAACTTTGGCAGAGAACTTTGGCAAAGTTATCTGTGGTACCCATGAGCTACTGTTGCGTGTGGGAAGTGGGTGATTGAACAGTAAGATTCATGTGCTTTTCTACTTCGCCAGAAATCTTCGACAGAATGCCCATAATTTCCGCAAAGCTGAGTGTGCGTGTGACAGGTGCTGACAAGGCTGGAAAAGTAGGTGCCTCTTCGATTTCTGAGATCGGCCCTCGTGGTCTCTGAGCAGCCCAGCTTTTGAGAAAGCAAGCGCCTCTTCGATTTCTGAGATCGGCCTTCGTGGTCTTTGAGCAGCCCAGCTTTTGAGAAAGCAAACGCCTCTTCGATTTCTGAGATCGACCCTCGTGGTCTCTGAGCAGCCCAGCTTTTGAGAAAGCAAACGCCTCTTCGATTTCTGAGCAGGCGCCTCTTCGATTTCTGAAGCTTCGTCGAGTGCAGATTTTTATAGGGGCTGACATTAAGTTCCAAAGCACACTTGAATCTCCACCAGTAGAAGCTCCATTCTTGCACTTCTAAGATCTTGATTTGTCCGACCTCTTCTCTCTTCAACACCTTTGAAAATGTCTGGCCCCTCCGACCGTCGTTTTGACTTGAACCTTGTTGAAGAGGCAGCCCCGCCTTCTCCAGACAACATATGGCGCCCATCCTTCGTCTCCCCTACTGGTCCTCTTACCGTTGGGGATTCCGTGATGAAGAATGATATGACCGCTGCGGTGGTGGCCAGGAACCTTCTCACTCCCAAAGATAACAGACTACTTTCCAAACGGTCTGATGAGTTGGCTGTTAAGGATTCTCTGGCTCTCAGTGTTCAGTGTGCAGGTTCTGTGTCTAATATGGCCCAACGCCTATTTGCTCGAACCCGCCAAGTTGAATCATTGGCGGCTGAAGTGATGAGTCTCAAACAGGAGATTAGAGGGCTCAAGCATGAGAATAAACAGTTGCACCGGCTCGCACATGACTATGCTACAAACATGAAGAGGAAGCTTGACCAGATGAAGGAATCTGATGGTCAGGTTTTACTTGATCATCAGAGATTTGTGGGTTTGTTCCAAGGCATTTATTGCCTTCGTCTTCTGGGGCTGTACCGCGTAATGAAGCTCCAAATGATCAACCTCTGATGCCTCCTCCTTCTAGGGTTCTGTCCAGTACTGAGGCTCCGAATGATCCCCCTCCGGTGCCTTCTCTTTCTGGGGCTCTACCGACTGCTGAGACTTCTCCTAAGCAACCTTTGTGAAGGCTCCCTCTTGTTTGTTTATTTTGACTCATGTATATGTACATATTTGTAACTTATCGGGGATATCAATAAATAAGCTTTCCTTCATTTCAACGTATTGTGTTAAATACACCAAAGCCTTCTTCGCTAAGTTCTTTGAATTTTCTTTTGTTGAAGCTTGTATGTTGAAGCTTTGTGAGTGGAGCATGTAGGTTGAGGTAGTGTTCCCTTAATTTCCCGAGTGAGGAAAACTTCTCGGTTGGAGACTTGGAAAATCCAAGTCACTGAGTGGGATCGGCTATATGAATCTTAGAACGCCATTGTGTTCTGTCCTGTGTCATGTCCTCCGTTAGATCCAAGTACTCTAAGTCTTTTCTTAGGGTCTCTTCCAAAGTTTTCCTAGGTCTTCCTCTACCCCTTCGGCCCTGAACCTCTGTCCCATAGTCGCATCTTCTAATCGGAGCGTCAGTAGGCCTTCTTTGCACATGTCCAAACCACCGTAACCGATTTTCTCTCATCTTTCCTTCAATTTCGGCTACTCCTACTTTACCCCGGATATCCTCATTCCTAATCTTATCCTTTCTCGTGTGCCCACACATCCAACGAAGCATCCTCATCTCCGCTACACCCATTTTGTGTACGTGTTGATGCTTCACCGCCCAACATTCTGTGCCATACAGCATCGCCGGCCTTATTGCCGTCCTATAAAATTTTCCCTTGAGCTTCAGTGGCATACGGCGGTCACACAACACGCCGGATGCACTCTTCCACTTCATCCATCCAGCTTGTATTCTATGGTTGAGATCTCCATCTAATTCTCCGTTCTTTTGCAAGATAGATCCTAGGTAACGAAAACGGTCGCTCTTTGGTATTTCTTGATCTCCGATCCTCACCCCTAACTCGTTTTGGCCTCCATTTGCACTGAACTTGCACTCCATATATTCTGTCTTTGATCGGCTTAGGCGAAGACCTTTAGATTCCAACACTTCTCTCCAAAGGTTAAGCTTTGCATTTACCCCTTCCTGAGTTTCATCTATCAACACTATATCGTCTGCGAAAAGCATACACCAAGGAATATCATCTTGAATATGTCCTGTTAACTCATCCATTACCAACGCAAAAAGGTAAGGACTTAAGGATGAGCCTTGATGTAATCCTACAGTTATGGGAAAGCTTTCGGTTTGTCCTTCATGAGTTCTTACGGCAGTCTTTGCTCCTTCATACATATCCTGTATAGCTTGGATATATGCTACTCGTACTCCTTTCTTCTCTAAAATCCTCCAAAGAATGTCTCTTGGGACCCTATCATACGCTTTTTCCAAATCTATAAAGACCATGTGTAAATCCTTTTTCCCATCTCTATATCTTTCCATCAATCTTCGTAAGAGATAGATTGCCTCCATGGTTGAGCGCCCTGGCATGAACCCGAATTGGTTGTCCGAAACCCGTGTCTCTTGCCTCAATCTATGCTCAATGACTCTCTCCCAGAGCTTCATTGTATGACTCATTAGCTTAATACCCCTATAGTTCATGCAATTTTGTACGTCGCCCTTATTCTTGTAGATAGGCACCAAAGTGCTCGTTCGCCACTCATTTGGCATCTTCTTCGTTTTCAAAAATCCTATTGAAAAGGTCAGTGAGCCATGTTATACCTGTCTCTCCCAAAACTTTCCACACTTCGATTGGTATATCGTCTGGGCCTACTTGCTTTTCTATGCTTCATCTTCTTCAAAGCTACAACCACTTCTTCCTTCCGGATTCTACGATAAAAAGAGTAGTTTTCTACACTCTTCTGAGTTACTCAACTCCCCTAAAGAAGCACTCCTTTCATGTCCTTCATTGAAAAGATTATGAAAATAACCTTTCCATCTGTCTTTAACCGCGTTCTCTGTAGCAAGAACCTTTCCATCCTCATCCTTGATGCACCTCACTTGGTTTAGGTCCCTTTGTCTTCTTTTCCCTTGCTCTAGCTAGTTTATAGATATCCAACTCTCCTTCTTTGGTATCTAGTCGCTTTATACATATCGTCATAAGCCGCTAACTTAGCTTCTCTCACAGCTTTCTTCGCCTCTTGCTTCGCTTTTCTATACCTTTCACCATTTTCATCGGTCCTATCCTTGTATAAGGCTTTACAACATTCCTTCTTAGCCTTCACCTTTGCTTTGTACCTCCTCATTCCACCACCAAGATTCCTTTTGGTGTGGGGCAAAGCCCTTGGACTCTCCTAATACCTCTTTTGCTACTTTTCGGATACAACTAGCCATGGAATCCCACATTTGGTTAGCTTCCCCCTCTCTATCCCACACACACTGGGTGATTACTTTCTCTTTGAAAATGGTTTGTTTTTCTTCTTTTAGATTCCACCATCTAGTCCTTGGGCACTTCCAAGTCTTGTTCTTTTTTCTCACTCTTTTGATATGTACATCCATCACCAACAAGCGATGTTGATTAGTCCACGCTCTCTCCTGGTATAACTTTGCAATCCTTACAAGTTATACGATCCCCTTTCCTCATTAGAAGAAAATCTATTTGTGTTTTTTGACGACCCACTCTTGTAGGTGATCACATGTTCTTCTCTCTTCTTAAAGAAGGTGTTGGCTAAGAAGAGATCATATGCCATTGCAAAATCCAAGATAGCTTCCCCATCCTCGTTTCTCTCCCCAAAACCATGGCCACCAAGAAAACCTCCATAGTTGCCTGTCTCCCTGCCCACGTGTCCATTTAAATCTCCTCCTATAAATAACTTCTCCGTCTGAGCAATTCCTTGCACCAAGTCTCCAAGGTCTTCCCAAAATTTCTCCTTCGAACTCGTATCCAACCCTACTTGAGGTGCGTACGCACTAATCACATTGATAAGTTCTTGTCCTATTACAATCTTGATTGCCATGATTCTATCTCCTACCCTCTTGACATCTACAACATCTTGTGTCAAGGTCTTGTCCACGATGATGCCAACACCGTTTCTCGTTCTATTTGTGCCCGAATACCATAGTTTAAACCCTGAGTTTTCTAGATCCTTTGCCTTACGACCAACCCACTTAGTTTCTTGTAGGCACATAATATTTATCCTTCTCCTCACCATAACTTCTACTACTTCCATAGATTTTCCCGTCAAGGTTCCTATATTCCACGTTCCTAAACGCATTTTGCTCTCTTGAACTCTACCCTTCTGTCCTAGCTTCTTCGCCCTTCCCAGTCTAATAGGATCAAAGTACTTCTTTTGTATGTCCCGTGTAAAGTTGATAGGAGCATATGCTCCCAAACAACTTTGAGTGGAGTCGTTCGAAAAGAAGTTTCTATAGCCCCCTTGCTCATTTAACACTGTATCCGGGTGCCGATGGAGATACAGCGACCCTTGCTCACTTATCACTGTGCTCAGGCCACACAGCGCGCCACTTACGGGTGACGCCCTAGCTTTAGCGCGATTTCGTTCTGGATTCATTTTCATAAGGATTCGACGTGATCATGGAGTGCCGGCTGTCGACTACCTGACGCCCTCCCCCTCCTCCTTTATCCGGGCTTGGGACCGGCAATGTAAGATAAACTTACACGGCGGAGTTATATAACTTAACTCATGATAAAAATAAAAAACAATTATCATCGTAACTCAATAGATAATTTGTTTAAAGAAGAGAGAAGGGAGAAAACACTGGGAAGTAAGTTGACCGAAAGAGTTGAGAGAAAATAATGGATGTAGTTATTAATAAGTCACAAACTACAAAATCTCAAACGTACATGTTTTTGTTCATTTGTCTATTCGCATTTGTTGGGGGCTATGTCATCATGTCAAAAATGCCTTGTTCACAATGATGTGAATTTCTGACCCTTCTAATAGGTTTCTCAAATCATTTCTGATATTGAATTTCAGCAATGGTTCAATCTTCTTATAGTTTTCTTAATTTTTCTGAATGGTGTTACCAATGGAATCAAACCTTTGCCTTGCACCATAAATATGTGATATGGTTCACTATGCGATTGTTGTCAATAAAAATTCAGCCTTCCTTGCTTCCTTTTTTCTACGAAGTGAAATGTCCTTTGAATTAAAGTATTTTGAAGGAGTAGCATTTTAGAGATTTTTGTGAAAATCAGTTTAAGAAAAAGTACCACATATGGACAATGTTAAATATTCTTTCTTTTCTGACCAAATTTGAATATTTTGGGAGCAGATCACAACTTATCTAGAGCAAAGGTGCTACAAGGAATTGAGGAACGAGAACTTTCGATCTGCAAAAATTGTCATGTGCATTTATAACAAATTGCTGATTTCTTGTAAGGAGCAAATGTGAGTTCATCCTTATCTAATTTTTTGTTCTATTATCTCTCTCTCTCCTCACACTTTTCAAATAGCAGTATTGACTGTTCAAAGAGAGTGCAAATTTTCTTTTATGATGGTCTCATTTGGGGCTTAGAGTTGAGCTCTAAGGTCTAAAACTATAAGCAACACTTTAAACCCTAGTATTTGCTCTTTTTGACTGTTAATTTGGACTATTGAGTTGGAATGATCTGTTTGAACATGAGGTCCTGATCCACATTCTGGCAACGTATAACATGGCATAAATCTACCAACAATAGACTCTCTCTCTCTCTCAAGCTCTCTGTTTATTTGTGCTTGTGGGTGTGTATATATAAAAAATATATAAATGCATATTTTTGTGTGGTTACATGGTTAATTTATATGTTCAGTGACATTTTCCTAGGCCTCTTTTTGCGAGTAGCTTACTCAGCATTATGCATACACTGTTGGATCAAACACGGCAAGATGAAATGCAAATTATATGTCAGACTCTTTTTAACTTTGTAAATAATCAGGTTTGTAAATTACAAGATACAAAGCTTCACTTTTAATTTATCACCAGCCAGCTTGGCTAGAGAAAATTTCAAATTTAATCCGTCTCTCTGATTTTTGCAGACGGATGGAACTTATATGTTCAACTTAGAAGGCTTTATTCCAAAATTGTGTCAGATAGCTCAAGAGCCGGGGGAAGATGAAAGGGCAAGTAATCTACGTTCAGCTGCACTCCAAGCCCTTGCTTCAATGGTACTTTTTCATATTGTTTCTGTTATAAATTTAACACTACACCTTAGCATTAACTTCATGTCATGTTAAATGCATGTGAAATTCAAAATTCAAAAATGAAACATGCTATGGGAGATTCTTATTACACTTTGGTTCGATCTATCTTTCTTTTTTCCGTCTCCCCTTTTTCTTGAACTTAGCAAATTTGTCCCCTTTACCATGAATTGTGTCCTTTTCTGTATTCTTTGCCCGATGAAGCTCTTAAAAGTGAAATAAGATGATATCTCTGTTGGAAATATATGCTTGTCACAGCATGTTTTCTCAAAGTTCAGAATCTATATCCCTGATGCAAAACTGAGTTTCCTAAATTTTCTTTTGTAGGTTTGGTTTATGGGTGAGAACTCTCATATATCAGTCGAGTTCGATAACGTAAGTACATTTGAAGTTTCTTAAATCTTGTTCCAAACTTTCAAGTAATCTTTTGATAGTTCTAGAAGATAAATGTGAATATAATTTTTTGGATCAACCTCAACTATAAATTTATTATTTATGCTTTAAAATTTTGCACTTTTTGCATTAAATATAAAATATTAACACCTTCAAGACCTTTTGATAACCATTTCATTTTTTGTTGTTAGTTTTCACTTTTTGTGGTTGAGATATGAGGAAAGTTATGGGGAGAAAGAAGGGATGGAGAAGGGTGGTGGGAAGGTAGGGAAGAAATAAAGTACAACGAACGAAAACAAAATCTTATAGGGAGAACAACTTCAAATAGTTGTTGGTTTTTAGTTTTCATTTTGTGTATCTCCTCTTATACATTGATTGTACATCTCTCCCACCATCCTTCCTCCACTCTTCTGGATCCCCTCCTCTCCCCCATATATTTTCCCTATATCTCAAGTACAAAAAATTGAAACCTAAAACTAAAAACGAAATGGTTACGGAACGGGAAAGGATAAGATTAGGAATGAGGATATCCGGGGTAAAGTAGGAGTAGCCGAAATTGAAGGAAAGATGAGAGAAAATCGGTTACGGTGGTTTGGACATGTGCAAAGAAGGCCTACTGACGCTCCGATTAGAAGATGCGACTATGGGACAGAGGTTCATGGCCGAAGGGGTAGAGGAAGACCTAGGAAAACTTTGGAAGAGACTCTAAGAAAAGACTTAGAGTACTTGGATCTAACGAAGGATATGACACAGGATCGAGCACAATGGCGTTCTAAGATTCATATAGCCGATCCCACTCAGTGACTTGGATTTTCCAAGTCTCCAACCGAGAAGTTTTCCTCACTCGGGAAATTAAGGGAACACTACCCCAACCTACATGCTCCACTCAGAAAGCTTCAACATACAAGCTTCAACAAAAGAAAATTCAAAGAACTTAGCGAAGAAGGCTTTGGTGTATTTAACACAATACGTTGAAATGAAGGAAAGCTTATTTATTGATATCCCCGATAAGCTACAAATATGTACATATACATGAGTCAAAATAAACACACAAGAGGGAGCCTTCACAAAGGTTGCTTAGGAGAAGTCTCAGCAGTCGGTAGAGCCCCAGAAAGAGAAGGCACCGAGGGGGATCATTTGGAGCCTCAGTACTGGACAGAACCCTAGAAGGAGGAGGCATCAGAGGTTGATCATTTGGTTGGAGCTTCATTACGCGGTACAGCCCCAGAAGACGAAGGCAATAAATGCCTTGGAACAAACCCACAAATCTCTGATGATCAAGTAAAACCTGACCATCAGTTTCCTTCATCTGGTCAAGCTTCCTCTTCATGTTTGTAGCATAGTCATGTGCGAGCCGGTGCAACTGTTTATTCTCATGCTTGAGCCCTCTAATCTCCTGTTTGAGACTCATCACTTCAGCCGCCAATGATTCAACTTGGCGGGTTCGAGCAAATAGGCGTTGGGCCATATTAGACACAGAACCTGCACACTGAACACTGAGAGCCAGCGAATCCTTAACAGCTAACTCATCAGACCGTTTGGAAAGTAGTCTGTTATCTTTGGGAGTGAGAAGGTTCCTGGCCACCACCGCAGCGGTCATATATCATTCTTCATCACGGAATCCCCAACGGTAAGAGGACCAGTAGGGGAGACGAAGGATGGGCGCCATATGTTGTCTGGAGAAGGCGGGGCTGCCTCTTCAACAAGGTTCAAGTCAAAACGACGGTCGGAGGGGCCAGACATTTTCAAAGGTGTTGAAGAGAGAAGAGGTCGGACAAATCAAGATCTTAGAAGTGCAAGAATGAAGCTTCTACTGGTGGAGATTCAAGTGTGCTTTGGAACTTAATGCCAGCCCCTATAAAAATCTGCACTCGACGGAGCTTCAGAAATCGAAGAGGCGCCTGCTCAGAAATCGAAGAGGCGTTTGCTTTCTCAAAAGCTGGGCTGCTTAGAGATCACGAGGGTTGATCTCAGAAATCGAAGAGGCGTTTGCTTTCTCAAAAGTTGGGCTGCTCAAAGACCACGAAGGCCGATCTCAGAAATCGAAGAGGCGCTCGCTTTCTCAAAAGCTGGGCTCCCCAGAGACCACGAGGGCCGATCTCAGAAATCGAAGAGGCACCTACTTTTCCAGCCTTGTCAGCACCTGTCACACGCACACTCAGCTTTGCGGAAATTATGGGCATTCTGTCAAAAGACTTCTGGGGAAGTAGAAAACACATGAATCTTACTGTTCAATCACCCACTTCCCACACGCAACAATAGCTCATGGGTACCACAGATAACTTTGCCAAAGTTCTCTGCCAAAGTTGAGCACGTGAAGCTTGCAGCTCCCACTACATCGCTCTGACCAAGAAGGGTAAAAGAATAGCAAAGAAACAGCACTAACAAAGTTTAGACCCATAAATTTTTGAAGGTCTAGCTACCATATTATTACCCACAAGGGTAAAGGAACAGTACCACTGCTGGATAATTGGAAAGTCCCTGTGTGTCAACCTCTGTGCTTCGTGGCAAGGTAGACTAGCAAACATGCCCAACCTTTACTCACATTCGAGAAAACACTCCCAATAAGATTGCTTGCTCCAAAATCGAAGAGGCACCGTCCTCCGAATCTCGAGAGCCAGACTCCCAACATGACTACTTTCTTAAAAATCGAAGAGAGGGTAAAGGAACAGTACCATTGCTGGATAATTGGAAAGTCCCTGTGTGTCAACCTCTGTGCTTCGTGGCAAGGTAGACTAGCAAACATGCCCAACCTTTACTCACATTCGAGAAAACACTCCCAACAAGATTGCTTGCTCCAAAATCGAAGAGGCACCGCCCTCCGAATCTCGAGAGCCAGACTCCCAACATGATTACTTTCTCAAAAATCGAAGAGACACTGCTCCCCGAATCTCGAGAGCCAGACCCCCAGCATGATTGCTTTCTCAAAAATCGATGAGGCATCGTTCTCCGAATCAATCGAAGAGGCGCTCGCTTTCTCAAAAGCTGGGCTGCTCAGAGACCACGAGGGCCGATCTCAGAAATCGAAGAGGCACCTACTTTTCTAGCCTTGTCAGCACCTGTCACACGCACACTCAGCTTTGCAGAAATTATGGGCATTCTGTCGAAGACTTCTGGTGAAGTAGAAAGCACACATGAATCTTACTGTTCAATCACCCACTTCCCACACGCAACAATAGCTCATGGGTACCACAGATAACTTTGCCAAAGTTCTCTGCCAAAGTTGAGCACGTGAAGCTTGCAGCTCCCACTACATCGCTCTGACCAAGAAAGGTAAAAGAATAGCAAAGAAACAGCACTAACAAAGTTTAGACACATAAATTTTGAAGGTCTAGCTACCATATTATTACCCACAAGGGTAAAGGAACAGTACCACTGCTGGATAATTGGAAAGTCCCTGTGTGTCAACCTCTGTGCTTCGTGGCAAGGTAGACTAGCAAACATGCCCAACCTTTACTCACATTCGAGAAAACACTCCCAACAAGATTGCTTGCTCCAAAATCGAAGAGGCACCGTCCTCCGAATCTCGAGAGCCAGACTCCCAACATGACTACTTTCTCAAAATCGAAGAGAGGGTAAAGGAACAGTACCATTGCTGGATAATTGGAAAGTCCCTGTGTGTCAACCTTTGTGCTTCGTGGCAAGGTAGACTAGCAAACATGCATGCCCAACCTTTACTCACATTCGAGACAACACTCCCAACAAGATTGCTTGCTCCAAAAATCGAAGAGGCACCGCCCTCCGAATCTCGAGAGCCAGACTCCCAACATGATTACTTCCTCAAAAATCGAAGAGACACTGCTCTCCGAATCTCGAGAGTCAGACCCCCAGCATGATTGCTTTCTCAAAAATCGAAGAGGCATCGTTCTCCGAATCTCGAGAGCCAGATACCACAGACCACTTTTTCAAAGTGCTCTGACAGAGTTAAAACATGTGAAACTGGCAGCTCCCACTACCGTGCTATGACCAAGCAGGGTAAAGGAATAGCATTACTACTTGTTGTTAGGGAGACTCCTATATATGTCGACCTCCATCCCCAACGGACAGGCAGACCTGCAAAAATGCTCAACCCTTCATCATATCTGAGAGGGCACTCCCAACGAAGCCTTTCGAAATATTCAGCTTTCTTTCCCCCCGATAATACCTCTGCAAACAAGCTATACTAGAGCAAGAATATCTCATATCATCAGGGTTAAAAGCAAGAGTATCCCATATCATGCTTTTTCCCTGTCTTTTCTTTTGGCCTTGTTTTTACCTGCAAGACAAGGAGAAAGAGAGCAATCAGTCAGCACTTGGAATCAAGCTTCCAGCCAGGAACTGACTGCCTGGAACCCCTTACCTGATTACTTACCTGGCATTGCTCTCGAGTACTCATCTTCAACATCTTATGTTTCCAGGGAAGATTCCGCATCTGCTTGAGGAACAGATAGGGCAAGTGCGAAGGATACAAGGAAGCATGTGGAGACAAGCGTAACAGCACACGTGCCGATACATCCATTACTCTGTCAAAAGCAAAAGTATCCCATATCAGCAGGGTGGAACGTACTCTAGATTTGATGGACTTGTTTTGACCCTCAAATTCTTCAGTCGGCCTTATACTCTGGAGGAAACCAGAAAACCCCTCCAGCTCAGTTCAAGAATAAGCCTGTGGAAAGTTACTTCTTCAAAAGCAAAAGTATCTCATATCATCTCTTCTCATTTTTCTTCTCTTTATCCTTCATGCTGCTGCAAGATGGGGAGAAGGTGAACAATCAGTCGGAGCTCTGATTGCTTACCTTGTCTGTCACCTCTTTCAGCAGACCCCCTAGCTCGGCGACTTGGGGGACTCCTACTACATGGTTTGTATCGCGCTTGACCAAGCCTGAAACTACAAGTAAGCTTCAAGTGAAATTGATACATTACCTTGTGCATCTCCACCAGTTAAAGATACCACCCCTGGATGGAGGAAGAGTACTTCCAGAGAAGATGCCACATCTACCTATGAGACAGATAAGGCAAGTCAAGACGACACCACACTCCGATACTTAGAAGTTTCGTGATTACGAGATCATTCTCCCACAATATTTCCTAATGTCATTTGTACTAAATCATTCACTTGTACTCACTAAAGGAGAGCTTGAACCTATGTACTTGTGTAAACCCTTCACAATTAATGAGAACTCTTCTATTCCGTGGACGTAGCCAATCTGGGTGAACCACGTACATCTTGTGTTTGCTTTCCTATCTCTATCCATTTATATACTTATCCACACTAATGACCGGAGCAATCTAGCGAAGATCACAAAAAGCGACCGTTTTCGCTACCTAGGATCTATCTTGCAAGAGAACGGAGAATTAGATGGAGATCTCAACCATAGAATACGAGCTGGATGGAAAGAGTGCATCCGGCGTGTTGTGTGACCGTCGTAGGCCACTGAAGCTCAAGGGAAAATTTTATAGGACGGCAATAAGGCCAGCGATGTTGTATGGCACAGAATGTTGGGTGGTGAAGCATCAACACGTACACAAAATGGGTGTAGCGGAGATGAGGATGCTTCGTGGGATGTGTGGGCACACGAGAAAGGATAAGATTGGGAATGAGGATATCCGAGGTAAAGTAGGAGTAGCCGAAATTGTAGGAAAGATGAGAGAAAATCGGCTCCGGTGATTTGGACATGTGCAAAGAAGCCCGACTGACGCTCCGGTTCGAAGATGTGACTACGGGACAGAGGTTCAGGGCCGAAGGGGTAGAGGAAGACCTAGGAAAACTTTGGAAGAGACTCTAAGAAAAGACTTAGAGTACTTGGATCTAACGGAGGACATGACACAAAACCGAGCGCAATGGCGTTCTAGGATTCATATAGCCGACCCCACTTAGTGGGAAAAGGCTTTGTTGTTGTTGTTGTTGTTTGTATCTTTCAGATGGTTAAAATTTTCTAGCTGCTAGAATTTTTTATTTTTTTTATAATTATTAACTTATGAGTTATGACTAGCCTAAGGCTCCATTTTGATTGCCAATATTAAATCTGAGGGATTGTCAACTTTGACTACCCATTTCAGTTAATGTTACAGGTTGAATTGATTGAATATATGATAACATTGTGAAAAAAAAAAAAAATGGTTACAGGTTGAATTGGTTCTTCAGTTTTATGATTGTGTTACTCGTCACTCATTTACTTCTCGAAGTCATTCTTATGAAGCAGCTAGAACGAATGCTACCTAAACCTCTTGACATTGGTCTTTTTCCATATTAATATACAGATTGTTGTAGTTGTCTTGGAAAATTATGGTGGCTTAAATAAAACTTCAGAGAACCTTGAAGGTTCTAAGAATCGGTGGGTGCAGGAACTGCAAAGTAATGAGGGTCATGTTTCTTCTTCCCCAGATGTCGTCATCAGGCTTACATCTTGGAGCACCCTAGTGGATGACAAAGGCAATCTAAATGTGACAGTGTACGTCTCTGTTGGCATGAGATTTTGTCAACAGCTTTACATTGTTTTGTCAATAGACCAATTCATTTCAATTATTAATGTTTGTTTTATTATCCTATAGGGAAGATGCCAAGAACCCCTGCTTTTGGTCCAGGGTTTGCCTGCACAACATGGCCAAGCTAGCCAAGGAGGCCACAACAATAAGGCGTGTCCTGGAATCTTTGTTCCGTTACTTCGACACTGGGAACTTATGGTCTCCCAAATATGGTCTTGCTATCCCAGTCCTCAAGGATATACAAGTTTTAATGGATGATTGTGGTATTTAAATTTATCTTTTGTATACTTCATCTTTAGGTCCTATTAGATGTTTCAACCACAAATGCTCTTCTATTGATAGACTTATTCAGCCTTTCGGTCTTTGGTTGCAGGGCAAAGTACACATGTTTTGCTTTCCATCTTAATCAAGCATCTGGATCACAAAAATGTCCTCAAACAACCCAACATGCAGGTCGACATAGTGGAGGTCACCGCCTCTCTTTCTCAACTTGCCAAGGTTGAGCCCTCTGTGGCAATAATTGGTGCAGTAAGTGATGCCATGAGGCATTTGAGGAAGAGCATTCACTGCTCGCTTGATGATGCTAATCTAGGAACAGATGTAATAAAATGGAACAGAAGCTTTAGAGAAGCGGTGGATAAGTGCCTTGTACAGTTATCATATAAGGTGGTACTCTTCTATAACAGTCACTGAATTAACTTTGTGCCTAAAATTCCACCATCACGAAATTTTCTGAGCTATAATTGCTTCTTGTAATGTTAATTCTTATCATAGCAAATAGTTTAGTAAGTCATAAGTTTCCATAGGTTCAGATACCAATTTTTATTGTTAGTGACTCCGTCACCAGTACAACAACTAAGCTGTCATTCTTTAACAGGTTGGAGAACCAGGACCAATCCTTGATGCAATGGCTGTTATGTTGGAGAATATCTCAACCATAACAGTTATAGCCAGAACTACAATTTCTGCTGTTTATCGTACTGCTCAAATTGTAGCTTCTTTGCCAAATTTGTCCTATCAAAACAAGGTGAGTAATTTACTTATGGTCGTGTACTTATTTGAAATTTTGAGATTCTTTCGGTCTTATTTGTCCTATCAAAACAAGGCAAGCAATTTACTTATGGTATCGTACTTGTTTCAAAATTTTGAGATTCTTAGAGTCATGTACAGAATTTTTAATTATTTGCCTTGTGCACTTTCGTTAGGCTTTTCCTGAGGCATTGATTCATCAACTACTCCCAGCTATGGTCCATCCTGACCATGAAACACGTGTTGGAGCCCATCGCATCTTTTCCGTTGTTCTTGTTCCATCTTCAGTTTGCCCTAGTCGCTCCTTACCTAATGCTGAGTCAAAAAAGGCATTGAATTTTCCCAGGACACTCTCAAGAACTGTATCTGTCTTTTCTTCTTCAGCTGCCCTATTTGAGAAGCTAAAGAGAGAGAAAATTTCTTCACGAGATAGTATCTGTGAAGAGGACAATGAAAATTCTGTTGCTGATGGGGAACAAGGAGACACCAATAGTGGGATTCTGAGCAGATTGAGGTCTTCTTATAGTCGGACGTATAGCATGAAAAGTTCTCCTGCACCTTCAGCAATAAATGAAAATTCCGTCAACAATTCGATTAAGGAACCTGTGAGTTTTAACAGTTTGAAACCTCTTCTCCTCATTGCTCCCTTTTATTTTTTATTTGCAAGATGCAGCGTGGGGGTGCAGCCATATGGATCTTTCTGCCTCAATGTGTTTGTCTCCATCATGTGCAGGAGGGGGCTGTACATGAGGGAGAGGATGTTAGCTTGATATACATTGTTGGCACATTCCATAAAAAATTAGACTTTTGGAGTTCAATAGTTGTCTAACAACGTTGATTTGATTGTGAATAGCTGTTTTTATTTGTTAAACCTCAGGAAGCTGATTCCCTCAGATTGAGCAACCACCAGATAACTCTCTTGCTTTTATCAATTTGGGTGCAATCCATCTCTCCTGGGAACATGCCTGAAAACTATGAAGCAATTGCTCACACACATAGCCTCGTGGTACTTTTTTCTTGGGCCAAGGTAATTGCTTGAGTGATGTTGCTTGATGAGTCTTTTCTATTATATATGCTGGTGATGTTTTTTTAATAGTTTCTATTCTTTATGATGGCATTTTCATTTTAATGGCATCCGAATGATGATAGCATGTTTGCATGATAAATTGCATCACTTCGTGTTATTGCTTAATATTTAGCTAGAGCGATAGTTAACATGTTACATGAATTTAGTTCATTTCCAGTTTTCTTCTTCTTCAGAGTGTATTTAGTGGATTGTTTAACATCGTAGTCATCACTTTTTTTTTAATCCTGGAAGGAATTGAGGCACAAGTAAAGGTTGATCAATCTTCCCTATGAATTCCAACTGTATGCCCGGGAACCTCAGACAATTAGTTATTATGTAATTGCACTAGAATGAAAATGAAAACTGATAACATAATTTCTAAGATTCGCTCAAAATCCATCCTAGATCATTGCTCATTTGAAGCTCAAGACTTTGTCTTAATCTTCCGTAACTGGTACTAACTGCTTTATAAGCTTCTTAGCTCACTTCCCACCTCCTATGTCATTGTAATTTTGAGGGTACTGTCAGCATGGGAAAACTCTGACTCTAAAGTATATGGAGAATTCAGAATTTTAAAGAGACGACTTGGAGAATTTTTTCCCGTTCTATTCTCAGATAATGGCACTATTATTTTGTCATTCCTTCATCTTTGTTGCTTCTATATTCATGTTTTCTCTCTTCTTATTGTTGTTTATCTTTTGTTGTAGAATTCCAGAATTGAGGTTCTTGTTCGAAGTTTTCAGCTAGCATTTTCCTTGCGGAACATATCTCTTAATGAAGGAGGTGAGCCCCGCAGTAAGTCCAAACCAATGAGCATGCATAATGCATATGCTCTATGCTTGCGTTTTCATTTATGATGATAAGATATAATTGTTCGTTAATTCATTTGCTAATGTTAAATATTAGTTAGAGAAGAAAACATGAGAAAGTAAAACATTGGTTAAGTAATAGACTGGATAGTCAATAATTTATTTGTTAGGATGTCATAACAAGCTCTTTCCCTCTATCTTTTCAGGTGTGCTGCCACCATCGCGTCGCAGGTCCCTCTTTACCCTGGCAACTTCAATGATTCTCTTTCTATCAAAAGCATACAATATTGTTTCTCTTGTTCGTAGAGCCAATGCAGTACTTGTGGATAAAATAGTAAGTTGCTTTTTCAGGTGAAGTTTCACATAGGTTGCCTCGTTAATTTCCTGTGGTCTCATAAGCTCCAAATTATCTTTAATAACTACTTGCTTATGTATGCGACATTTTGCTTAAACTTATCAATTCTAAGGACATGAAAGACGCGAAGAAAGTGAACCATATACCGGCATCTTTTTATGTGAGATTTCCATAATCAAACTTCTCTATCAAACATAAAATAGCTTTGACACCTTTATACGCTTAATCAGGTTGATCCATTCCTGCGTTTGGTTGAAGATCGCAAGTTACAGGCTGTTAAGACTGGACCGGACCATCCCAGACATCTTTATGGATCTGAAGAAGATGATCGTCTGGCATTAAAATCTCTGTCAGAGATAAATATTACTGAAGAGCAAACTAAGGAATTCTTTGCTTCTGAAGTTGTGAAGAGCTTGGAAAGATTGTTAGATGTACGCTTTTATACCGATTGTTTAAGTGTTTTGGACTTTTCATAGTGCAGGAAAAGAAATCATTTGTGTTATACCATGGATTATGAGTAGCGAGCTATTTATGCAGGCCGAATTGTCTACTATAAGGGAGGAGCTACTCAGTGAATTCTTACCTGATGATGTATGTCCACTGGGAGCCCAGTTGTGTATGGATGCGCCGCAAAAGTTATATCAGGTTGATTCCCGAGACAGTAAATCTATGAAGGAGGTAAGTACCCTTCATAGCTTTCACTTTTGTTTTTGTTTTTTGGTTGTGTGGGGGTGTAGCAACTAAAACATAAGCGTTGAGAGGGAAGAAACGGGGGTATTTATCACCATGCCACAGTTAGAGGTGGTCAGCATCAAGTTTTCTCTTAATGCTCAGGACTCAAGGTTTTATTCTTGTAACGCAGGATGCTCCAATATTTTCATTGGATGATGATTCCTTTCCAGGTTCATTTGATAGCCAAAAGAACAACTTAGATTTTTCTGCAGATTCTCCCAATCTTCTGAGCGTCAATCAATTTATTGAATCTGTACGTTAGCCATTGCATGTTCTGTATTTAGTTTTATTGCTTTTAAAAAAATAGTCTTCTGTTGTTTGTTCACATGCAAGATTCAGAGAGAGAAGTGTTCACCATTACAATGTTTTTATGTGCTCAGGTTCTGGAGACAGCACATCAAGTTGGAAGACTGTCGGTCTCTAATGCACCTGATGTGCCATACAAGGAAATGGCCGGGCACTGTGAGGCACTCCTGATAGGAAAGCAGCAGAAGATGTCGAATTTGATGAGCTCCCAACAGAAGCAGGAGTATTTGATGAACCAGTCTTTACAAAATCATAACGATGATGCGAAATGGATAACATCTGGTTTCCATGCTGACTTCGGCTCATATAGGGTACTGCTTTCTGGCTTTAACCAAAATTAGGCATACTTAGTACTGTACAAGTACCATGCACACACTCTGGCTGGCATTTTAAATCTAAAGTTGTGAACTTGAATGACAATACAGAGCGGAAATCCATTTGCTGATGACACTGCCACTTCATACAATCCTCCCCCAACCGCAGGCCATGCCTCAGTGATGTGTGTAAACGAATACCAGCATCATCCCCACTCTTTCAGACTACCGGCGTCGAGTCCATATGATAACTTCCTAAAAGCTGCAGGTTGCTGATTCTATACAAGTGATGAAAGAAAATTATTGGTTAGTGAATTTAAGAAGCTCAAGGGATACCAGCTTTAACTATTTATTTTTACTTTTAGCTTCTAACTTTTTCATTTTAGGCCCTGTAATTTCATTTCCAATTCTTTGTAATTTCATTTCCAATTCTTTCATTCTTTTCCTTTTTCCAATTACACTAATTCAATGTATTTGATGTATAAAAGTTAAAAATTATTTGTCACTTTTAATTGTTACTGTGGAGCTTCATGTGAATTGCAGGTTTCACTAGGGTGTTTGATTTGGAACATCTGCCATTTTCTTACCAGAAGCTGTGAGGCAAACATAACAAGCTATTGAAAGGATGTTTGTTATGCAAGATTGGCTCGAATTGGACTAATTTTACAGATTGAGCTGGATATGCTTATCTTGGACTTAATCATATCCTATATTTGGTGTGCATCAAGACTAAGGGGGTAGGATAATATTTTATAGTGCTATTTTATGTTTGGGGTAGAGATGAATTGGTGTGGATGGAAATGTAAATTACTTTCGAAGTCGTGTCTTTATATAGTGTCAAGTTTGAGCTTGAAGGTGATTCATTAGTCGTTTGACTTGTTATCTCACTCATTAAAACATATAGTCGTTTGACTTTGGAAGACATGAAGGGCATCTTAACCTTATTAAGAGTCTCCTTTAAGGTATCTTGGCCACATCGGATTTCATGGCATGTGACGGAGCCACGATTGTAGGAATTTTCATCCTGTCGTTGATGCTGCAGGTTAAGTCCTTATTTATCCTTGCTAGGCTAATCCCTCTTTGAGGCCTTGTTAGGTCAGGTGGGGTTTGGGCTTTGTAAGCCATCTGATGATTTAAATGGCTGGGTAGGATCATGAGTGTCTAAATGTTTCCATGGAAAATGCTAGGTGTAATTTTTTTTTTTTTAATACAACGATATATTTTACATTAAGGGGAGATGAGAGTTAAGCCACATAATGGTTGGTATCGAATTCGCCATCTAGGAGATTCGAACTTAAAACATCTCACTTATAAATGAAAATGAATACTACAAGACCGTAATAGTAAATGGCTGAAAAATGGTAGTTTCATAGACTTCTTAAAAAAATGTCTTATCCTTAAGCATCCAGATTTACAAGTGTATGAATCTGTGAAGCTTATGGCCCTGTAGCCATATATTGTCGCTAGAACGAGTATAAAGACTTATTATATATATACATGCGCCGACACATACACGACGCTAAGTATTTCTGTTAGTACAAAACAACCATTCACAACATTTAGAGGGAGTATTTTAATCTAGGTCCAAAAAATGGACCCGGCTTCTCTGCCTTCCCACTTCCCGTACACTCTCATCCCCTCCTATTTTGTGCAGTCACGGTTAAGCCACATCAACATTTTATATTGATTTTTTTATAGAGATAATAAGACAAAAAGCAATAGTAATTTAAAATGTTAACGTGGCTTAACCGTGACCGCACAAATAGAAAGGGATGAGAGTGTACGGGAAGTGGGAGGGCAGAGAAGCCAGGTCCCAAAAAAATTGAACTATTATTTGTAGATGTGATAGGCTACTTATAAATAGTTTACTTACAAGAAGGGTAATTGCAGCACCTAAAATTGAAGGAATTTTTTTTTGTTTTTTTGTTTAGTTAATTTATTTTAAATTTTATGCGCAATGTTGATAGAATTCAAACAAAGACTTTACAGTGCACGTCTTGAGTTCGATTCCTGGCGCTGGTGAATCCCACGATGGTGGCTAAGGGGAGGCTAAAATGTCTCTGTGCTTCCCGACTTTCAAAATGGTGAGTTGCCGTAACAAAACTTCTAGTTTGTCCCTTTTTTATTTAAAAAAAAATATATTGAATGTCCAACTTCAACTATCTTTACAAATTCTAAGAGGGTGTCGAAAAATGCTTTTTGGGTGTACACAAAAGTATGCCGACCTCAACTAGTCAGTCCAATTATTTTGGGCTTAAAACTCAAATCCATTTCAGCCCATCATACATATGATAACAGTTCAGGAGAAGTCCCAATAAATGGAAGAAACCCCGTGATTATTTGTTTACCTGAAGATAGAAGCAGCAAAACCCTAGACATCTAACAGCCTTTTCGAGCTCTTCTCATGGATCCTCCGCCGCCAGAGGCCGTCTACTACATCTGTGGAGGTATTGATCTTCCCTTTCTTCTTCTTCTTCTTCTTCTTCTTCTTCGAGATGAATTACATACAGAAGAATTTGAATTTGTGATATTAAATTAAGGATTTAATGTTGTTGTAATGTATTGTAGATTGTGGGATGGAGGTGCAGCTGAAATCCAACGACGTGATTCAGTGCCGCGAGTGCGGTTACCGTATCTTATACAAGAAGCGTACTCGCCGCAGTAAGTCTCGATATCCTTATATGCTTGTATAATTTTATTGTTGCAATATTGGTTGATTTCTCCAAAAGTTGATTATTTGAATATATTCGGGGATTGGGTAAATACCCAATTATCAGTAATCGATTTCGGATTGACGAATGTGGATTCTCTTGATTATTCGAACGGTAGAGGGAGTCGAATTTTTTAGCTTATTGTTTTATGTTTTTAGGGTTTATGTCACTTACTGAATTTCGTAGTATGACCTTAGTTTTAGTTTGTTGCAAAAGGAGGACATGGTTTTGGGTAAGGAATTCGTGTTTTTTCACTGTCAGCATTTAGTGTTTTGTAATCGAAATGTTTGGCAGCGAGCAAATCTACAAATTAAGATGGTTATGGATACCTTAAAACTTGAGTGGCTTTCTGTACACCCAATTATGCACTTGAAAACTACTCTGGTCCAGTAGGCCCAATTTAGGTTCAATTAGGCATCACTGTATTTTTGTTATTTTCTCAGTTCATACTTCATAGTATCTCACTAGGGTTTTATTAAAACTTTAAAAGCCTGGTCGAATTCATTCTTTGTTTGGTCGGTTGCCACCCTTTTTGTACAAGATGGTGAAATTCGTTATGTTTCATGTGTTCTTCATCTTTAGTAATTAGTATCTGTTATCTTAGCATTTCTAATCAAAAGACCTATCATACCTTAGCAACAGAAATTATTTGTAAAGTTATAGGCACTGTAGGAAATCGTTATATTGATGCCAAATAGCGATACTGACCAGAGTGATAAGTTTTCCGTTAGTTTTTAGGGCTCTGGCTTAGAGGCTATGGTTTTACGTGCAATTAGCCTACACCAAGATGCACCAATACTAATATTTGATCACCGAATTTAGTCGGCAAGATTCTGAATCAAAGTTAGGTAAAGCCTTGCACCCAATTATTTGAATTTTGTTGAAATATCTGTCATTCCTGCTGATTTAAGGTCATTGATCGAGCTAGCAGCATTGGTGCCACAAAGTGTAAATCACAACGTGGTAACTGCACACGAAACAATAACGGCTGTTGTGTCACTTTGTTCATATTAGGCTTTAACTTATGCTAGTCCTACAGTAATCTGCTATATATACTCTCTTTTCTTTCTTTTATGACTTAATGACATCGCCATGTTATACTATCTACCAGCACAGGTATCGTACATTTGATACATAAAGAATTGTATTGATATGGTCCACTTTTGAAAGAGAACTTCATCCTTACATCAATTTGAATTTGAAAGCCAAAAAAAAAAAAACAATGATAAACACGAACGCACAAAGAAGTTGTAGCGCTGTTGTGTCCTCTTTCTTTCCTATTCTGCTGTAGTGTCCCATATGAAGCACTGTTGAATGCATTCTTGCTAGCCTTTTCATATATATATATATATATATATATATATATATCATTCATCTATTGCTCTCTCAGTGACAATATTCATTGATTTATAATGACTTAGTTATGGTTGTTTTTGCAGTTGTTCAGTATGAGGCACGCTGAGAAACCCGCGCAGAGCTCCTCAGTAGATGACATGAAAGGTAGAGTATCGCATGTTAAATACCTCCATGGTTGATACAACTTGGGGAGCCAACTCAAAATAGCGCAATTGGGCAAGGTAATTCAGTGTAACAAACGCAGCTGTAGTGACATTAAAATTGAACATATTGTTGTGAAATATAATGTTTGGCGATGAATGGAACATCAATATGTCTGTTTGGAGCCGTATAATTGAGATAATGGTTGACAAATATTCAGTTTCTTTCAAGGTTTCTCAATTTTCGTCTCTTATTATTCATCGTTCTCCTGATATACCAGAACCCAAAACGACAGTATTATATTCATCGAGTATGCATCGAGTACCATATCCATTTTCTTTACTTATATATCTCTTTCCAGTTTTGGCATTTGCATTGAATAAATCAAAGAGGAATCGAGAACAAAAATTAACGGATGTGGATAAGGGGAAAATGGACTTTGTGGATTCCATTTCCCTATTTCAATTCTGTTGGCCCTCACCACCAAGCAATTGAATTCGTGGTTTCACCCGAAATCCGAGTTCCTTTGTTGTAGATGGTGAGCAAAAAATTTCCAAATACTGTAGTGTCGCAATGTAAACTCTGATGTACTTTCCACCGTGCTGCGTCGCCGACAATTAGGGAGTGAGGAGGTGAGGAGTGAAAAGTTAGAGGTTTCCTCTCCCCGCACCACAGATGGCCGGGGACATGTCCGTCGGAAAAAGCCAACATGCTCTGTTAAACCATCAAAACAACAAACTTAAAAACTACAAGCTCCAAACTGCTCTAACTTATTTTGACGCTCAGCTCATGAAAGCTTAAATAAAATAAACTCTCTCAAACCCCAACAAATACTACTCTCTCAGGCCTTATTTGGTATAGAAGATTGGATTGAAATTGGTGAACCCATGTTTTTAAGGTGTGTTGAAGGAAGAAATGAAAAAAATCTTGACCAACCTAAAGGTATGAAAATGAAATGAAAATTAAAGATGAGTGGTATTTTTATTATTTAGAAATGTTGTCCTGGACATCAGGTGGCCAAAGAATGCGTGGCCACCCAATGCAGGTCTAGAACCACATTAGTTGGCATCATAATTTGTCCCTCATGTCAAACAGTACGTCAATGCAAAGTTGATGACTTCCAAAGAAACCAACATGGGAGTTCGAACTCGAGTTAGAACTTTCAAACCCTTGCTCGTTTTTTATAAGACCTACCTTTTGAGATTACCATCTAGCCCAAATTTAAAAGTGAGTAAACAACAGAAAAGAGCAGATTATTTAACTATTACTTTAAAGATGAATGTTAAGAAGATTCTCTCAAAAGTGAGCATCTTCATAAACTCTCTCACACCTCTTTTGGCACAGTATTTTCTAATGTTAATGAGGTAATAGAGAATTCATAAAGAGTCTAACTTTGAAATATTCTATTTAACATTTCTCCTCTTGGAAATAGAAAATTGATGATCCAACAATGAATACGACCCCCATTGCATTGTCGTCGATCATCAACAAGTGGCGAGACGAAAAAGGTTCAAGAATTCCTGTCGTGGGAAAGTTTATCTCTCATTATCTTGTCAGAAGTGGAGATAAGAAGAAGGTTCAAGAATTCCTGTTGACAGACACCATCGTGCGGTCTCACCGACTCGGAACTCCTCCTGCGGTAAGTTTTCCGTTTCATCTACAGATATAGAAACAAAGAATAACCTCCAAGGTTGTCGTTCGTTCTTTCAGAAAGATTATTCCTTATCTGTTTGTCCTCAGTTGCAGTTTTGTTCGATTGTTACTATGTTTTTGTGTGCGTATGTTTGAGTAAGATTCTTATTAATTAGTCAAGAAACAGAAACATGAAGTGGGTCGAATGAAAATGCAAGAAAAAATGAAGAAAATTGAATGCTTATGTTTCAGTAAATAGGAAATTGTAATGGGGTTTTCACTTGTAGGTCCTTGATAGATTTATAATTTAGAGAAAAACCACTTTAAACCTAATACTTTACGAAAATACCCAATTGACTCACTTGGTAACGGGGGAAGTATTTCACAACTAAGAATAGTTAAGAGTATGTGTATAGATGAGGGTTTTTTTTTTTTTTTTTTCCTCCAATTGGGCTCATGAGGTGTTTTTGTATGAAACTTATAGTTGTCGGGGTGTTTTTTTGATTTACTTAATGGACAGGGCGGTTTATGCTATGAAGGTTATGAGAGTTATAAGTAAATAAATTGACTTGGTTATTCTCCAGTATTGTGAACTAACTCAGATCTCTTGAAGAAGAGTCATTTATTTAGGTTCTCTGCTTTGCAGTTGGTTTGGAGAATGCATTTTAGACATGCAACAGATTTGGACTTGAATTTCAGTCTTATGTTGGGATACCCGTCTGGCGGCTGGGACTGGACTGGAATCCTGTCGCAGGATTAGGACTGAGTCCAGTACTGTACCATAGAGTCCCGGCTTGGGAGGGGATTATTTGGTAAACGGGGGTGTGTACCCCCTCTTGTTTCTCTCTCATTGTGTGAGCTATTAGTCTCTCTCATCACGTAAATCCACATGATGAGAAAGATACTAATAGCTCACACGATGATATAGATACTGATAGTAGGGGGATATACCTCCGGTTGCATGTTAGATTCTCCCGACCCTTGGGGAGGAGACATGTTGTCTTTGATAAGTGGGAAAGTTATCTAATTTAACCGAGTCTTAGTCCCACTATTGTTAAGCTCATCGAGCATAGGCCACAACAGTTATTCCATTTTAATTGGTCTTGCCCTCTCTAGTCCCAGCCACCAAATAAACTAGGCTAGTTGTTCTTAATTGGCAATTCAAACAGATAGGGAACTATCTAGATTCAAAGTATCTTGAAGTAGGATATGAAGGCTGACTTTCAAATTCTGCCCAAGTTGAAGGAACGGTCTTCATCTCTTACTTCAACATACCTTGAATCTAGCAAGTTATCCCCATCTACCAATCCAAAGGGACCAAACGTGACCTTAGGGGATATTTTGAATGCCTTCCTTTTTGGTTGTCATTGCATATTCTCTCATGAAACTGGGTTATGTTTCTCATCGGCAGTTTGAAATTTGAAGATGCCTGCAAAATACATCATTCCTGCTGTTTTGGGATCATTTGCAGTGGCATGGACAGCTGACCATTATTTCGCTGACAAGAAAATATTTGGAGGCAAGTTTGTTCTATTTACATTGCTATGGGTTTTTTTTAGGAAATTTATTGCGTAATAGTTGTTGCAATAGCCTGATGGCATTATGTTTGTTGCTAAACTCAGGAAGTACTCCGTCAACTGTTGCAAACAAAGAATGGTGGGAAGAAACTGACAAGAAGTTTCAGGCATGGCCTCGGACTGCCGGTCCACCGGTGGTCATGAATCCCATTAGCCGTCAGAATTTCATTGTCAAGTCCCGCACCGACTCTTGAAGATTTTCCGGATCTTCACTCCGTTTATGTGTGTTGTGAGCTGAAAGCATGATTGAAGGATTGGCAGAATAAATGTTAGGCTGGTTTGAGAATGTTGTGATGTGAACTTTTTTGTACCAAAAGAAAAATGTCAGGGAATCCTAAATCTGAGGTACAATAACCCAACAATGAATCACCGTGTATAAATTATCACTCTTCGGGATTTTATCGATATGTCTCTATTTGAATGAAACAGTCAATATTTGGTCAGTATGTCGTCTCTTAATCATTTCAACAAGGGGATTGGGATTTGTAAAATCCTCATTTCAGTCAATTTCCGGTTATTTAAGCTTTAACTAGAAACAGATGGCCTCAAGGCTCCCCAACAAGCTTAAGTGGATGGAGAATTCTCACGTACCAAAGCTTGGATCTGATGCGTTCACAATTGAGAAATGATGGTTAGGCGAAGCTGTCTCCAACCGAAAGGGTTAAACATAGCCCAATTACAATTATATCCTTACAAAAAATTATTCTTAAATGAACGGTGTCAAGTCATTCATGCCATTTTCAACTGAATCGATTAAATATAGCTCCAATAATTTATTAGTTTTAAGCTTATAACATAAATTTATTAGTTGGTATAATTAAACTACCATTGGATGTTTTTAAATCTAGCCATCGAATTTGAATCAGTTATTGCAATTGAGGAGCTGAGCCTCCAAAAAAAGGGCTAAGAGGGAGACCACATTTGGCCTAGTCATCGGTTGAAGATGAGTTTTTGCGCAAATCAGGTCATTTTTCGGCTTTTGAACCTTTAGCCTTCTCCATTGGAAATCACCTAAGTGATTTGAATCAGATATGGACTAGTTTTTCATTGCAAAAGGGTGTGAACTTGATTGAATGAGAAGCCATAACATGCACCTTCACATATAAATCTCAAAAACCAGGAACTACAACATATGATATGGACCTAATATGTAAACAGAAACTTAGACTAATCCTTTCCAGTGGGAGGACTTTCCCTGCATTCATCCACCCCCTCTTCCTGCTTCAACGCGAACCGATTACAACCGCCTTTTCACTTCATTCCTTGAACACCGCGAACAACCAGATGGATGATACGATTGATGCGTTCAGGGCATAGAAGACTCAAATGACTTACCATCCATCAGTTTTTCTTGATTTCTTCCAGCATTTCCACAACCTTCTTCATTTTCGGACGTTTGGCAGGTATGCTGTCAGTGCAGAGCAAAGCAATCTTCAGTGCTGCAAGCATTTCTTTCCTCCAACCGAAGGACACAGTGCTGAGCCTTGCATCAAGAATCTGCTCCGGGGTTTCGCCTCTTGCCGGAGCATTATGCACCCACGTCACCAAATCTACCCCCTCGTCAAAGGCTTCATCTACTGGTAATTTGGTTGTAAGGATCTCAAGCAAAACAACACCATAGCTATAGACATTTCCAGGCGCTGTAACTTGCATTGTATATGCATATTCTGATGACAGAAGAGAGGAAGAACACAAAACTAGATTAGCACACTAACAAAGCTACCAAGTGAAAGGAATGAAGAATAAACTGTATAAAAAAAACATACCTGGAGGAATGTAGCCAAAGGAGCCTGCAACCGCGCTGATACTGGCTGTACCTCTGGATGGATCCAAGAGCTTCGATATCTCAATCTCTCCAACCAAAGGATTGGAGTTAGCATCCAGAAGAACATTACCAGAAGAAATATCGAGATGGATAATCGCTACATGGTGAAGGAAAGCCAACCCTTCTGCTACTCCTATGGCAATAGAGAGTCTTTTTGGCCAGTCAGGTTCATATTCGGGCAGCTTTGTGGATTCATGAAGAAGCTGACATAATGTCCCATAGGGCAAGTAATGATGCAGCAAGAGAGCAACGTCCTCGTAAATAACAAATCCGATAGGACGCACTAGGTTATCATGACAGAGTTTGCTCAGCCTTTCGAGCTCTCGGATCATCTTATTCTGGTGATGAATGATTGTCCTGTCCATAGATTTCAGTCTCTTCACAGATATGATTAGCCCAGACGGCATAACAGCCTTGTAAACCGTGCTAAAGGTCCCGGTACTGATCTTGTTTGAAGCCTTCATGGTTGCTTTAACAGCACTATCAAGATCTATTGCTTGTTTGAGATTCTCAACAAAGACAGTGCCTGCTGCTATCACCGGTAGGTTGT